GGATTTCTAGCTACAAAACATTACTGCGAAAGAGATAAGTAACGAATATGCCCATGTCTTTCCATTAAAATCTAGATTCTTAAGCCTATCTCAACTCAACGTGTCCAAACATGATCTTTAGAAAGTTATTGTTTCCCCAAAAATTCTTAGCCGACCTTAATCATGTAAGTTTGGGAATAAGGCATGTCACTTACTTTGTTTAAAAACAAGAAAATAAGATTTTTCAGACAACCCTTCTCCTTCCCAATAGTCTACCTCCAAAAAAAATGGTAAAAAAAAATGTCTGTGAACTAAACTACACCTGCAATGAAGTTCTACAAAATAGGTTATTAATTGCCTTAGAAACCTTCAAAAACTTAAAAACCACTAAAGTGTAACAAAATTTACAAATCCTAAATTTAACACAATATCCTAAGGCAATTATCTTAATACAAAATAAATAAAAAAAAATAACATGCCACTAAAATAAATTCGTAGATAACAAATTGTATAAAATTGCAAATAACGATTTTAACTATACAATCCTTAATGATTAAGCTAATTGCTTGCAAATTTAAAATAAAAAAAAAAATTGAACTACTTGATTGCTAAAACTAAAAGAGAATCTACAAAATGATCAAAGTTTGGAAACTTATAAAATTAAATCTCAATCTAGAAATTGAAATTAAACAAACTACAAGTCTGGCAGTTGCACTGAGGCAAAGAAAAGAAGGCGCAAAGCATTCAACCTCTTCATATAAACAAATAACAAAGATGAATCTATAAGAGAAAGAAAAAATAATCAAATCAATAAGGTAGACCTGTTTTCAAGGTTGAATTGCTTCAAAATCCTTAAAAACTAACTAAAATTGTAATCTTTGAGGAAAAATACGAACAAAGATGGAAAAATGTAAACTAAAACTATGAACAAGAACATATCTTCCACTCTAAACTGAAAATTATGCTGAAATTTGAAAGAAACAGACTGGAAATTAGAAAACCATACGTGCTAGGCGGTTTTCTATAGGGTAGGCCATGTAGAACTAATTTTTTTCCTCCTGTTTTTCTTTTCTTCAATGTTGGGAACCTTCCTCCATGATTTTCAACCTTCTCCCACGATAAACAAGTAGTGGGTGCTCCATGTTTGAGGCAGTTTTCTCTCGCTGACAGTTGACAATTTTAATTCAATTTTAACTCTAATAAAATCCTAGAAATAACCTTCTCCTAAAAACACTCAACTTCCTAATTTAAATCAAATTCAATCACAAAAAACCACTTTATCATCTGCCACACAAATCTAGCTCCCTTTAAATTCCGTCTATGCCATAAAACTTTAAGTTGAACTAGCCCAATCCAACCTGCTGGCTCTTCTTGATAGTTGGACTTCAACTTGACACGTGGTCTTATCCCATTGGTTTATTTTTAGATGTAAATAGTTATCCTTTTAAAAAAAAAATTAAGGTCATCTACTATTTTTAATAAGTTATGCAGAATATATTGAGCTCTTTTATAGTTCTTTTTGGTACATATTGGATGGTTAACTGCTAAGCAGTATAAAGGTTTAAATTTTTAATTTTGATTTTAAACTTAAAATTTTTTTAAATTAATAAATACAATTCAACTAAAATTTTATTGATAACTCTTTTATATTTGTGAAAAAAAGGAGAAATATATTTTTATTTCAGTTAAAAATCTCTTCTACTTACCTCAACCATATATTTATATCCATAGCATAGTCATTGTCATCAATGAATTGTTATTATTATTATTATTATTATTATTATTATTATTTATGAAAGTTAGTTTTGTGTCATCTACACCAACTAGGATCTAAAAGCTCCTCAACTCTGTCTCACCCTAGACGCAAAAGGGAAACGAACTTCCGAACTGGATTTCTAGCAACCACGTAATCCCTACAGAAGGAATACAAAATGAGTGAACCCATATATTATTGATAATTAAATTATGATTCAATTACATACAAATTTTATGCATTATATTTATATAAAACCTTTTATTTATCATTTCATTTTTAATAGTTGAGATTTATTTATATTTATTAAAGATATATAATTGTTTTTTTTACTTAAAAAGTTGTGATAAATTTGACTATTAAAAATAAAAAAAAAATTATTAAAATTTTATATAAATTTAGTGCATAAAATTTGTGTAAATCTACTCTTGATAATCCAAGTCTACTTCAGATTGTCCTCATAATTTGCTTGAGAAGTTATCCACTGATTCCAAATAAATATTGTAAAATATAACAAGCTCAAGGATGTATATATATACACATATATAGAGAGAGGATAGTGCATATTAGTTTCAATTTTTTTAAAAAAATTAGAGTTTTAATTTTAAATAACTGTCATTTCATTTAATTAAAATTTAATTAAAATTTAAAAACTCAATTTATTAAATATTTATATCTGCATTTGGAAACTACAAATTTAATTCAAAATTCAATTAAATGAAACGACATCGTTTAAAGTTGGATTATGTATATATCTATCAATAGGGATTCACTTATATACAAGTTTTACCAACTATATTTATATAAAATTTCAATAATTTATCTCTCCATTTTCAATTGTTGAGATTTATTTATATTTATTAAAGAAAATTAATGATTTATTTATATTTATTAAAGAAAATTAACTTTTTTATTTAAAAAATCATGACAAATCTTAATTATTGAAAGTGAAGAGATGAATAGTTAGATTTATGTATTTAGTAGAAATCCATATACACACAAATTTTACACACTAAACTTTTATAAAATTTTAACCATTTATCTTTTCATTTTAAATAATTGAGATTTTATTCATATTTATTAAAAATAATTATTTTTTTCACCTAAAAAATTATAATAAATCTTAACAATTGAAAGTGAAGAGATAAATAACTGAGACTTTATATAAGTGTAATATATAAAACATAAATGAATCCCCACCAATGCCATCACTGTTTCTTCCCCCAAAGAATAGTTCATGAACGGCTAATAATCTCCCTTCTATTGAAGTTTCAACATTTATATCTCCAACGGACAACCATTTATTTCTTTACATAGTTGTTACATCTCTTCCTCTTCTATGGTCAGCCAGTTATTTCATTTGCGTTGTTATTGTTTTACACCTTCCTATGCCAACGGAAATTTGCCTATTATCGTACAATGAATATTGAGTTTGGGAGTGATGTTAAAAAAAAAAGTATATGTTAAATATGGGAGTTTATTGAAAGATGTAATTTTATGATAATTTTTTCTTAATTTTTAAGAGGTAAAATAGATATGTATTATATATATATATATGAGAAGGGATCTACTTACATATAAATTTTACATATTATATTTACACAAAATTTTAACTATTTATCTTTTCTTTCTTAATAGTTAAGATTTATCATAACTTTTTTAAATAAAAAATATAATATTTTTAATAAATATGAATAAATTTTAACTATAAATGAATCTTTGAAATTTTGTATAAGTATAGCATGTAACATTTATGTATAAATGAATCTTTACTTTATATGTATGCTTAAAATTCTAATTGGATCCCTCTACTTTGACAAATAGCTCTTTTTAGTCCCTTTACTTAAAAAAATCCCCTTTTAGTGCCTAAAGTTTGAAATCTGGTCCTTTGTTAGTCTTTTTGTTAAGTTTTTATCTTGTGACACACTATCTTAATAGAAATTCCAAAATAGAAAGACTAAAAAATGGTTTGTTTTAAAGTATAGGGATCAAAAAAAGGTGTTTTGTTAAAGTAGAGGGACTAAAAAAGGGTTTAAAAAGCCCATTTTTAATCCATTTACTTTGAAAATTTCATCATTTAATGTGTCACATATGTAAAACTTAATGAAGTGACTAAAAAAAAGCTTTTTCAAGTAAATGGACTACAAAAAGGGTTTTTTTTTTTTTTTTTTTTTTTTTT